TTATCGAGCCTGGCCCTATGAATCCGCTCTTATTCATTAACTTATTTTCATTCGCACACCAGTATCCATAAACATTTGCGTATTAGCTGTGGGCATGATTCACCTCCGAAGATATACATAAAATATAGCCATGAAGTTAAACCTTGCAGCCTGTCTTCTACGATTCCTGTAATATGTGTTCATGTAAACTTGTAACCTTCCATGCTTCTTAGACGCACATCGATGCAAGTTGTACTCAATGGTACTATTGTTCTACACCACACGTTTTAGACTTGGTTTGACAATTTAGAAATTATCAGTCACCAACATTTATGTCGCTTCCCCTATGATATTTGCACCACACTGATATGGTGACATTTCCCAAATTATTCAACTTTCGCTCTCATCGAACTTACCGCAGAGTCTGTTGAAAGTAGACACTTCGTTTCCATTCTGAAGTTTTTTCACAGAGTAAGGCTTTCGGCATGATTCCGTATTTATAGACGTCAAAACTCAACTACTAGGTAAATTACAAGGACGCTTGCCAAACTTTAGTATTCCTTGCAAACTGATGTCTGTATTTTTTGATTATTCTTTTCCATATCTTTACGCTTTATTTACTTTTACTGGTAATCATTTTATAGCCGTTGTTTATCTACCTTGATACTATCGTTACTTTATTTCCTCCCTGAGCCCATTATAAACTGGGACTTCTGAACGTGTTTTAATCGATCGATGAAGTTGGATCGCGCATCAGCGAGAGTTTGAAAGAATGGCACATCCACGAAAGTCCCATTTCCGCCTTCAGGTCAGAATGCGTTCGTCCAGATCAAAGGGGACTTCCGTGAACTGAGGATATAACCCCAGCACAATCTTCTGCACTTCATCCTGAACAACGTGCATGTGTGAAACTGACATGGATATAACATAATGCATATTCCCATCTAATATGTAGAGGGGACTAAATGAAAAAGTCTGTAAATATTTTGGTCTTTCCCTATGTGGGAATAGTCTCTCGCATCGTGGAGAAATAAAAGATTTATTTATTTATTTGTTTATAAGTACACCGTTCTCCAAAGATCAAATTAGGAACCAGACCGATTCGGGTAAAGCGTAAAACAGCTGTTAATGTCAGGGATCGCAGTTTCACTTCAGACTGCCGAGAATCAAACTCGCGTACGGGTGAATAATTTGTTCGCAATGAGCCCTTGTGAAATGCGAACGTCAATATGTAGATACATTAGAGTGATAAAACCGATGGTCTAATGTCACTAAAGTGAACTAGCATCAGAGGAAGCGAACGAAATGCATGATGAGTCAAAAACCATCGTGTACCTGTAGTGGTCAACCGTGGAAACCTCATAAGCGATGCGATTCGTATCCGCCCACCAGATTCAGCGTTCAGTTGGATGTGTCTCGCCTCCGCGATGCTTGCCATATGCTCTCAGAGGTTGTGCCAGCGAGGCGCCAGAACTGTGTATGATGGACTAATGGAAACATACCGTCGCAACTGAATGTTTGCTCTTAATTAAACAATTCAGTTTGAAGGTGAAAGTGTAAAATTCGGCCGGTGTGCACCGAAACGTTTTTGCAAAGATGGAATTGTTAGATGGTTCACATATGGTTCACACCATGAGAAACCCAGGAGTGATACGTAACTTGTAACATGAGGACATTAGGTAGGTGGTAACTGTGCCGTTGTGCCAAACAGTGGACACATGAGGTTGGCGTACATGGACAGACAAGCTTGGAGGTAGTGTGTCAGGGAACGACTCATCAGTCACAACTGGTCTCTGTCGCAGTCGATCGGCGTAACGAAGCAGTCAAGAGGCACAGAGACGTGATAACGTGAGATCAGTGGTGCACCTGCTGCTAGCACACCAAACCAATGGCAATCGATAGACGACGGGTAAATTGGGGTATTCCGAGGATGTGAGCACGCACGTGGACCACACACAATGAGACCACGAGAACGGCGCCAAATGACTGTCGCCATTCATACGTCAATGTGAAGGCAAAATATGTCGAGAAAGGAGAGAGCAAGATGGTCGTCAGTGTAACAGCGGTACAGGCGACTACGTCGGTGCAGTGATCGATTCGCCATCATGTAATCAAGTGAGAGAAGTACACTAGGTGGCCCTTTGAAAGCTCATACAACGCATGTACGAGTGCAGCTAATTAAGCCGGATAAGAGCGCAGCACGTGATACATATCACTGCTTAAAGTACGGACGCAGAACTGGGAAGAAATAGTACTGGTTTACCTTGGAACGGAACGAGCACTATACATGGTAGGCCCGGAGAAGGCGTATACACACAGGTGATAAAGTTGTGCACACAAGCTAGGTCATGTACATTCTGTAGTTGTCAATCTCGCTGAAACGGAATGCCGTCACCCACTGTTATTATGATTGGTGAAATGGTGGAGTACAAAACGAATCAGTCCAATATGTTCGACTTGTGTGTTCTTTCACCCATCCACCGATCCTCACAAGGGTGGATCAGAAAATCCGCGGCCTGACCATGATACAGGTGAAGTGAATAAAAAGATTAGTTTATAAAAGGATTTTGTCGCAGTTAGACTCAGGCCACCACACATGCAGCAAAGCGCTAGACAGCCGTTTCGTCCTATTGAGACTCGTCAGTAGTGTGCACCAGCCGGATCCTGTTGGATTCGAACCCACGACTTTACTCTTACGTGTCAGCGGCTTATGCCACTGAGCCATGGACGACGGCAGCGGACCGCCATGACGATCACCTAACTAGCACGGCTCATGTTCACTGTCATGTATGTTATGAACGTGCACAGGACAGGGCTGACCTCCAGAGCAACGACCTCCTTTGCAAGCCGCCACCAATCGAGGTGGCATGTAAGCTGCTAAGGCGACTACTGAATGTTTGTAAGTAGCACCTAGAAGTAAGTAGTTGTCATGGTGGTCCGCTGCCGTCACCCATGGCTCAGTGGCATAAGTCGCGGACACGCAAGAGTAAAGTTGTGGGTTCGAATCCAGCAGGATCCGGAGCGTGCGCGCTACTGACGAGTCTCAATAGGACGAAACGGCTGTCCAGCGCTTTGCTGGATGTGTGGTGGCTGTCCGCCTGAGTCTAATTGCGACGAATCCGCAGAATATCCAACACATCCTCCAGGAGTTATAAATAATTTCTAAAGTATTGCAGCCTGAAAGTATTATCGCCAAGTCCCAAAGTTCTATCTTCATTTGTTTGCAAGTGATGGTCCATTCAACTGACATCAGGTGCACAATCTCTAAAAATGGACAAATTCAAGAGCTGAGGTGTGACCAAGTAACCGCTGGAAAAGAGCATGGCGCAGAAGGAAATCCATCCTGATATGGTCGATACACTTGGTGAAGCCTCCCCTTTATAATCAACTGTTAAGAAGTAGGCAGCCAATATAAAGACGCGTAGGGAGAGCATTGAAAATAACCTACGCGGTCTGACCGATCAAAATTTTCGACATGTGGAAGCCATTCGTCGAATGATCATAGATGGCAGTAGGTTGTCTATTCATCAGATAGCTATGGGCATCTGGTAAAGTTCAGTGCAGACTGTTTTAATGAACATTTTTGGGACGAGAAAGATGACTGCAAGATGAGTGCCAAAAAACTTGACACCGGATAAGAAAATGAACAGGCTGGAAAATTCAAGGCAACTTTGGACCAATTCTAAGGTAAATCCCTCCAATTTTCTCAAAATATTTGTTACCCAAGATGAAATTTGGTTTCAACACTGAACTAAAGATTTGAAGTAATTAATGGAAGCACAGCGGTTCTCCTCCAAAGAAGTTTCGAGAAAAGGGACTCTGTCTGGGATAATGAACACGTGATGGAAATAGACCTGTTGCTGAGGAGTTAAACCATCACGGGCGAGTACTCCGCTGTTGAATTCCGCCAAACTAAACAATTAATCAAAAAAAACGGAGAGGAGAGCTAGTAGCAGTAGGGGTTGCCCTATTACAGGATGACGCGCACCTGTCCATACTTCCCAAGTGCCAGTGTCAAAAGCGGCCATTGGTCGCTATGAATGGCTGACACACACCCAGCTTACTCACCAGATCTGGCCCATCAAATTTATCGGCTACCTAAAATGAAGCCTCATCTAGGAGATCAGAGATTTACCGATAACGATAAGAGGATTGGTGCATTGGAACCATTTCTACAGGGACAATTGTTGACCTTCGTCTACACAAGGATAGCAATGCTTGAACACCTCTGGACTGAGTGCATATGTAGTGTACCTTTCACATTTTATTACATAACCTACCGGTCAGCTGATAATGTTACCAGCTGTATCGACTATTCTTTCAAACGCTTCACACATCGATCAACTTTCCTTTTCAATCGCCGGCTGACGCTAGACTACCTCGTGTATAACATTTGGGAGCTCCAAATACACATTTATGGGAATACACGTATTCAATCCCTTTTGGCATCCAAGAATGACGGGTAATTAAACCGGGAACTCCGCAACCAAAAGGCGTTACCAAAATACGATAAGTGGACCGCCGACACATTCACGTTATGGGATCGTAGGTTGAAAAGTGACAAAAATTGATTTGGATAACGGGCTCTCTATATCGGACCGAGAACATTTTGACCCACTCTCGAACCAATCCAGTTCATATTTGCCTTTAGTTTGTTTGTTAATCTTCTACCTTTGCCTCATTGTTATCAATTAATGTTACCGTGACGACATAAATCCAAGCAACTAGATTCATCAAACACAGTGTTGCTGGTGTTGACCAAACTGAATCGAATTAAACTTGCTCCACCACTATGGGACCACAGGTTGGTAAGGACAGTACGAGGCCAATTGAAAACGGAATCGCCCTTAAATCGATAAAGTATGTCCTCAGATTAAGATGATTAGGTTAAAAGTATCAACGGAAACATAGACGAGAGAAACAACGACAACACTGGTCTTTTTGAGCGCGTTAGGTATCAAAAGTCATGGGTGGGATAGAGTGAAGAATCGGGGATGCAGCAGCAGACGGGGGATACTTACCCAGAATGGCCATTCCTAAACGGTGAAATGCAAACGGAGAAGCGAGTCAGAAAGACAACGTGAGACAATATGAGAAAAAAAGTGATGTATGAAATAGAAACCGGAATAGGTCAACGTCGGTGAAAGGTTATATGATGCAAAACGTTGCTGGAGAAACTAATTCAGGATGGGATAATTGTGATCTCGATTAATACTGAGCAAAATCAGGAGAATAAGTGAACACATGTTAGCAAGGGATATGAGCTGAAGCAAGTACACTGGCAATATAACAATGCATCTGTCAGCAGTACATCAGCCATTTGGACTAATGCTTCGTTGCCGTACAACCACGGTGACCTCAAGAAGGAAAATAATAGCAGGGAGAGAAGAGGGATCTACTGTAAAAGTTTAATGCTATAAGCGCATATCCACAGTCAAAGCGCCTACACCTTGTCAAAAACATACCTTCACACAGCTGCCTATGGTGTCAAAATTAGGCGGCACTGGCGAGACAGGTTCTTTACGGCTTTCAATGCCCCGCGTCATAATCAGCCACAACCCCGCAGATAACTCAGCACCAAACACACTTTAAAAACGCAGTCCCACTAGGAGACGGTAGCAGACACACCACTGGTGTTGACTGCGAGCGAAGACCCGTAAAGTCTCGAGTCAAGCACAGGGCCAGTAAGGTGGACTCCAAGCTGGAAGGTGAGTTGAACCAACGGTACTTAGCTTTGTACTCAGTAACTTCATCTGCCCACCTCGAACAATGTGCAGCCCTACATCTGGCAAACAAAACAAGGCACTCCTCAGTAAGCGGTGACCAGGCCTAGGTAGTATGAGCCCAAGCTAACGCAAGCTTTTCAGTGATATTTTTTGTTCTAAGGAACTAGATTGATAATCACCGCCTAACACTGGCCCACGCACACTATCGTTACGGACAGGCTGTTGCCACCCGACACCAGCAATACTTCGCAAACAACGATGATCAAAGACTTGAAGGCGCCGCAAGTCTCGCTCCCACACAGTAGGACGGCCTCCACTGGGACCTTGTATACACGGCCTGTTAGACAGAGGAGGAACTGCTTTCTCTCGCCAAAGATGTCGCAAATTCAAAAAGCAGTTTTAGCTTCTGTACCACGTGAACTGACTTTAGTGCCTATGGGACCGCGTGACTGATGCACCTGTCAAGATGAGTGAACTGATCAATTACCTCGAGTTCCTCGTTATCACGGGTCGAAGTCATCAAATGGCTGTTGGTCCTGCGACGAGACTGGACCTCAAGGCAATGCAATGGTTTGTGTACATTCTATACCTACTGCAATTTACTGAATGGGGCTCCGGGCCACTTCAGAGCGAAACTTACCAGATTTCTCAATAGTTAGAAGTCAGATGAACGTAGATTGGGGATTGGAAATGAGATTGCGTCCATTGCTGTAAAACCAAATCATCGCAATCTCCCCTATGCCTTGCGGACAAGCTTTTAAGACAAAAGTTTTAGTTGATGACCCTAATCAGTCTCCTGTCTAGATGTAGGCAGAATTTCAGTCCACGTACAACCATGACTATTTCTTCAAACTTCGACCACATCCTGCATCGGGAGCCGCGCAGTTTATCAAAGGTCGCCTTAACCGCTGCATACAGCAGAGCGGATAAGCGAAGACATGCTACTGCTGGCGCCTCCTTTCCTTTCCACCTGTCTCATCTAATCCCCTCCAAACACCCAGTACTATCTGTCCATTATTCCCTGCCGGCCGGTTGGTCTGTGCGACTGGTTTGCAACCATAAGGTCACCGGTTCGAATCCGCGTAGGGATGGGCGTACTCGCGGTATGTTCAGCCCATGCGCGACTGGTGGTGGTCGCGTGGCAGCGATGCGCTATTGCGGCATAAAGCTGGTGATTCATCTTTTTTATTTTTCCCGCATCCCGAACGCGGTCCTGTTTCCCTAGCGGTGTTCAACATTCGCACTCAAAGATAAATTGGTCAACAGGCTGCACTCGCACACACGTTGGATACACTGGTATCGACAAGTGTTGTGTGTCCGAAACTAGGATCAGTGATATTCACGGTGTTGTTGAATTAACTACACCCGGTTTGTCTTCTTGCCATTGGATGCACGCATCCAGAGACGCTGATGAGGCGATCGCTGGTCAATCTGGGTGGGCATTGTTCTCAGCTCCAAGGGTGAGTCTTCGTTGGTTGGTTGAATTTTCGTGAACAGCCGTCTGTGTGCGGACCGTTTGACTACATCAAGTACTGTTGATTCACGAGTGGCAATAGACGCTGTTTGCTTGTGGTTTCCGCCTATGCCCCACCGGTTGCAGGTTTGAGGCTGCGAAGGATGCTTTCTATCACGAACTTAACAAGTTACTACGCTGTGTTACCAGTTCAGATACCGTAGTTGTTGCAGGGGATATAAGTGCGCAAGTAGGTCGTCTGAAGCTCTTTAGTAGCTCATCTGCGGGGGGGGGGGTAAATATGGGATAAACTCCAAACGGACTGACAATGGCGAGCGTCTGCTGCAACTGTGTGCGGCGCACCAGTTGTTTTTTAGTAGCACTGCTTTTAGACACAGTGGGTGCCGAAGTGCCACTTGGCGTGCGCCTGTAACTGGCCAGCGATGGACCCAAATTGACCACACTGCTATAAGTTACAGGTGGCGTGGTTCTATCCCGGATTGTCACTCGTTCTAGAATACCTACGTTGACTCTGATCATGTCTTGGTACGCTGTTGTTTCTCAATGAATTTTACCGGAAGGCGCACCAAGCGTCTTCTCCGATTGGCAACTGAGAAATTCGTAGATAATGTCCATAAGAATGTAAGAAAACACGGCTGCAAAGAGATCTCTTTTCGGTAACTCACATCAGGCAAATAAGTTTACAAGGATAACTGGGATACGCATAAGCTAATGGAAGCCGAAACGAAAGTAGGAGCGAGTTTGAATTTATTCGGACGGAAGTTAAATTGATCGGGCCAATTGGTAAAGCCGATGTTGTCGATGAAGGCTGACCTCATTTGACCCCAAATGACAGTTCGCTGACCACTTCGCGAAGCAAACTGTGTCAGCCGAGAAGTGATGCCACCTTTGGTCTCATCATTGTTCATGCGGATGGATCCTTATCACGGAAACGGCAGCGTGAGAGATTGCAGTAGCATGCTCTAGTTGACAAGATCCGGTTGCGTTAACTTAAGCGTTATCGATTCCGCAATCTTAGGGAGGGGTCTCTTAATCCCCTTAGGATATCGTTTCGGAACGGTGTAGAAAAGGTTGAAAGCATCATTGGTCAGAATTTCGTGTCCAATTTGAACCAGATGTTCAAGGATAGAACTTCTGATACTTCTGGCAGTTCTTTTTCGTAGAGACAACTGAGAAATTGTCTCAGCTTTCGGTCATGCAAGCCAAACAGGATGCTCTGGGTACCGAACTTTCGCTCTCTTGTCCTAATGGCACTGGGCTTCAAGGTAAGAGGATCTCCGCCGCAATGTACCATGCAGCAACCTCGGTTTATGGCACAATCAATCGTCGCCGCATCAGTCACTGGATATCCGAGAGGTCGGTGGACCTTCTGGAATACAGAAGAAACCTCCGGGATAGCGTTAAAAACAGTGTCACCGACTGGACTATCAGATGTGAACCAAAACGGATCCTGCGAGCTAACAAAGAAGACTTGTGGACCAGTATGGCTCAAGCAATAGATGGGCTGGAGCAGTAGGCAACTATTGTAAGCTCTTCCGTCTGATTCGCACCACCGGTCCCAAGAAACAAGGTGTCAGCGAGACAAACAGAGACTGCGCGGGTGTCCTGGTACCCAATAAGGAGCGCCGTATGCCTGGTTGGACAGAGCATTTTCAAGAGCAATTCAGTTGACCCGTTGCATTCGGACCCCCTTTTACTCAGATAATCCAGGATTAGCCGTGGGCGGTTAGTTTAAATGGTGCATCGGAAGCTCAGGTCTGAAGGGTGATCACAGTCCTCAATCATTTTCGAACCATTGGCCAGGATTTCCCCGAACCTGCACTATGTAACTATGGTGGTGGTGCATCAGACAGAGTAAGAGTTGACTAAAACAGACTGAAGGCGGAGAGAGCTTCAAGCCATCGCGCACGGTGAGCTGCAGTGAGTCCCAGGTCAGAACACAGTTGTCCGAAAGTTGAAGAATGATCAGGTTCCACTGCATCGTCAGACCAGTCGATACGAGAGATTTCATGGTGACTACAAGGCTAACTGAAATCTCCTGAGGCATGATGGCACGATAAATACAGCGACCAGGCGTTAGAAAGAGCAAGATCCTCAGTCGATTTTAATGACTCAAAAGTCAGACCTCAAGAAAGTGAAACTACGGTAGTGGGCGACTTTATACAAATAGGTGAAATCCCATTAGTAATGTTCAAATGAAAGAGCCCAGACACAAGATATGTGTGACTTCTAATAACTGACCAAACTGATAGAAGTAGTTCCAGAAACCCCATACATCCAAACCAAAATCAATAAACAAATGGAGATACATTTCAACCAAGTGGTCCGATAAATTTGTACAAAATCAAGTAAAATTAAGAATTGGTTATTTTGTTCGAGGCGATTCCCAAAAGAGTTTTCGGAGTGGTTGATCAGTTCAGTGTATCAGAAAGACAGATAAACTGACAATAAGGATAAAGATGAAACCAAAAGTTCAACAAATCGGGGATACAGATGATTCATTCACTGTAGGATTATGGAGTGTACGGGTACGAAAACAGTCACATCATGCCAGCGGGTTCACCGTCGAGTATGGAGTGAGGATGACTGAAATGTCGAAAGTGGTGTAAGCAAACTCGGTATTGAGAAGCTAAGTCGACAGCGATCGAACTTTAGGCCGTTGGTGTGTCTCGTCTTCCCGACTGGGGAAAACGTGACCTCAGAGGGCAATCTGACTCGCAACAATCACCAGTGGAGCGTTCGCTGTAGTATCCCAATTGGATTCCTAGTTATAGAAGTATGTCCGCTGTCGTACTCCCAAAGATTAAGTTCAGTGGAAACCGCAGCTGTCACGGATTCTGCCCACGTATCGTTCACAAGTGTAGACGACTTGTCTATGAAGGTTTGCTAACGCCATTACGTCTAGGCTCTCATTGACTCGCAAAGCTAAGGTCATCATAGTTGATTGGCAACGAAGCATCAGATGAAAGTCTTGTAGCAATGTTGACGACATCAAGACTGTTTATAAAGTCCAGCGTGATACGATTCAGAGCACACTACTTGTAATTCAAGATCTAGCTAGAAAATTATCGACCAACAAATCAAACAGCATGCCATGTGGTTGCTCGATCCCCGAGGGGCCATTTAGACTAAAATACAGAGTATGTCCATACGGCAGTCTACTGGTGATGTTGGAATCCGGTATTCTTCTGACTAACCCTTTTCGGAACGAGCTCAATACCAACTCGCTCGAACCGTGGCTAACATGCGCCAAAAAATCGACATGGTCCTTCCCAAACTGGAATTATTTAAAAACCTTCACTCGTCCTATTTTCAAATACTGCGACTTTATCTATAACAAATACAATGTAATCAGTCAGTGTTCTTACAAATCATCGAGGTCGTGTCAGCCATATTAGAGAAGACATGTGTGTGTGTTTGTGTGAACAGTGACACGAAACAAGCAGGAGGCAGATTGAACGTACCTCTTTTGCCGCGGACATTCGGGGTGGAACCGGGCGAAATTCGATCTGTAAAAGAATACGTGTCGACAGGTGTACAGTAGAGACCTTCGTGTGAAACCTTTGTGTGAAACAAAAAGACAATAGGCTAGAAACCAACAAGCTGATTCGCAAACACCTGCGTCGAAAAGTGATAGGGAATTAGTATAGCAAATCGGAAGAGCGCTACTAAATGCAAACACATTAGTTGGAGAATACTAAGAAGAAACACATCTTTACAGCCTCCTTTGTAAATTTAGAAGACAATTTTTTGGCGCCTCAACATAATTTCAACCTTTATTTTGGTATCAAAACAAATGAGCGAGAATATTGCAGTAAGAGAACATGGAGAAGAATCATAGAAAATATGCACTTCACAGCATAGTGAAAATTTCAATAAGCAGCCCGAAAGCTGAGTTACAGTGGAAGCAGCTGCCTAGGGAGATGAGCAAGTGATAGACATGAGTTAAGAAAAAGCGTCCGCCGCTATGCATGCATCTACTGAGATAGGTGAATTAACCAACAATTTCGGACTCTTCGTAATCAAGAGTGTAATGGCTAACCAGCGGCCTAGAAAAATCACAATTTACTCTGAGAAAGCAAAGTGTATGATAGAGACACACATTCACGAGGAAACAGGGCGATCGAGTAAGCAAGACGTGTCCTTGAAATCGAGGGGGAAGCAATAGTAGTCTGTGGCGGGAAGCGAGAAGCATGCGGTCGTTAGGTGAAACGATTTCTTAATGTGATGATATGCATAAAGTTATGAGGAAATTCACTGAAAGATTGATCAGGTGGGTATAGGGCAGTCTTGGTGGATGGGGCTCTGGGGATTGTCCACATCAGTGGCTAGAGACCCAATCGAAAATGGTGCAGTCAGCAGTGCTCCTGTATTCCTATGCTTGTATCGCGCTGCCAACATTTCAATCCGATTAATGCTACTCAACTTCGTCCTAAACCCTTGTGTTCTATCCAAACTACGTCAACACTATCATCTATTATCACTATGAGGACTATAGTCGTGGCAATTGGACCCACTATCACATGTTAGCTAGAGGTGGGAAACACCTGTTATTGTGTAGTAATAAACAAGAAAGTAAAAAAGTAGCAACAGGGGAACGCCGGCTGAGTCACCAGTAACGGATGAGCATGGTTGCGGAGAGCTAACAACCAGTTATTGTGCCGCGAAAAATTTATGCGTCAAAAATGAGACCATGCTTGGAGGAATAAGATAAGCGAGAGAGAGGAACGAAGTTAATCACAACATAAACACCGTTGTGGTCGGCTCCTAGTTAAGTCAACAAGTGTATCTATCCAAACATGTCCATCCTCTTTCGGACACCAACCAGGGAGCCGAGAGGCTAAAACCGAGGCAAAGTTCGAACCCATGACCAACATCTCTCTTGACCAAGTCAACACTTGACCTCCCTATCTCTTCCTTGATCCACAGCCCCGGTGCGCAAATAACGCACGCCGCAGGAGTCGGTGAGTTGGCAAGCGTAACACGCGGCTCAGCCATCGGAGTCGGATGCGTGAAATAACGGTGTTGAGCGGTTCGCTTCTTCTTTTTGTGCCATAAACAAGGCGTCGAACACGCTCACTGCTCATGCAGTGTTCCCACCAGGTATGAGCCAAGCTACGGCGGTACCGGTGGTCGATCGTAACTGGCCACTATGTCTGCCGATCTAATGGGCCAGATTTCCCAACCGTACAGTAAAGTCAAACGTACGGCTGCATAGTACATCCCCCCCCCGATGATGATGATGATGGCGAAAAGGATGTCGCGGCGGTGCTACAGATGGCGAAGGTTAGCAAAAGAAAGTCTCGAGCTTTTGTTCTACGATTCCTGACCTCGTCTCCAAATCCACAGGCGCAGATACAACTGTATGAATAAAGCGTACAATGGTATCCGGATCATAGTTGGTTAACTAAAACGTATTGCTCCGGTACCTTGTTTGGAGTGAAGCTAAGGGCTAATAGGCTTAATATGGATAGAAACCTTGATAGTTTTCAACTTATGTGGGATTCGATCACGAGGTAAGGCGGTGGAGAATAGTTAGAGCCAGCAATTGAAATACTAAGGAGTAGCAGGGAGATTTCAAAGGCATGAGTTCACCACATTCAGGCTCAGTCAGACAGCTTTCACACGCCCCGAAAAGCAGTTTCCCATCTTTCATCATTTCGGGAATCGTCAATGCTTATTCTATGTGACATATCTGTGGAGCATGAACCCGCGCCTCGACTGCTGCTAGTCTGTGGTTAAGACCACAGAACTACGGGGGACAGCAACGACCGTCGTGACTAAGTAACTAGATGTGATATTACGTCGCTCATTATCGAATAACTGCCAATGTTAGGCTGATACACATGTGGCCAATAGAGACGTTGTCACGACGATTGATTCTGTGGAATGGATGCACACACTTGCTGGGTATGATACTTGGCTGTGTGGGCAAGAGAGAATCCAAAACGGGTAATGTGGATGCCAATGAAAGCTGTGACCACGTTCTGAACCTCAGCTTCGAGCAGATACACAAATCAGCTAGAAAATCATCACGGTAAAAGGGTTTGTGAGCAAAAGAACGGTTGTAGACGAGCTGAGTGATGTTTCCTGCTGGGAATTAGGGAGCCGGAGTTGTTCCTGATTATGAAAATGACAGAGAATGATATTGAACCCGTGAAGTTTATCATTTGGGAGAGTCAGAGGAGAGTACCAAGCCAGGTGAACCTGCCAGGCTTCTCTGGCAGATTACAAAACCGTGTTGGTCGGCGCCTGATAGTTTCCAGACTGAGACCGACGCACACTGTAATTGTGGTCACTGCATCTGCATCACTGAAGAAGGGCGATCACCATCGAGAAGGTAAGATGGACAACGTTAGATAACTGCGCGAGTCTCGTCGATCTTAGTTTTAGGGATGCAATGTTAAAGATGTAGCATTTACCAAAAAAATGAGTATTCCGTGTGTATGCACGTGAAGCCAGCTGAGATGAACTGCAGTTAGTCCCGAGAACTGGAGTGAAAACATCGATCAAGTGAATCACGTGACCGAAAAAAGTGGCTTGGGTAAGCCACTAAGCTGCATCAATTAAAACGGTAGACAGCGAGGCCAAGGGTGACAGGAAATCGACCCTGCGGCCAACCAAGAGATCTGATTCAATATCGAATGAAATAAAATCCCTTGCAGCCTTCACTGCCTTACATCATGATCAATCTCATGATAAACGCAACATCATGTGGTAGCTTGGGAGATTTCGTCACATAGAATAATCGCAAAGCTGATAGTACCTTTGCAATACTTTGATTCGTCAAGCCTTCACCCAGCGACTATGCGTCCTCAGCACATACATTTTTCTCCCTTTGTTTTCCTGAGTCATTGTGAGGTATCTCTCAAGAAAACTGGATTATCAATTGCAGCTGGCACTAGTGATGCGTTTGTAATCGTCCCCTAAGCTGAGCTGAACACTGCAGCAATAATGATTTTCTGAAGTGAATGGACCTTATTTGTTCCGGGGATTATATGGCAATGGTCTATTTTAACATGCATAAAAGTTGTTAGGTAGCTTACAGAATGACGGAGTGTGATGTTAGTCAGAAGTAAAATGCTTAAATCTGTTTCTCAGGGGGTAACTTCACTTTAATATTGATGAAGAGAAAGAGTAACTAAGGTGGGCTATTGGTAGGATTGGCAGGGCTGTAAGTGGCGATTCGCTAGTTAGCTTTAACTTTATGCGAGGAGACAATGTACACTAGTGAAAACAAGCTCGCTTCAGGTATCTATTCCAACTATAACGCGCCCACTGGTGCGCAACGGACCCAATTGTCCCAAAGTAACTCGCAATAATAATAATAATAATATCTTAATGGAAACGGCTAAGAATCAAACCGTCACATGGACCAGTCAGCGAAGGAAGAAAATGCGAATCAGTGGCATGCAGGTGCGACGCACCGACGTTCCAGTACCATACGATTACAATCAGTCGCGCGTGGGCAATGGATGCCGCGACATCCCGTCCTTTTAGGCAGATTTGAATCAGTGATCCCGGGGTTACAACGGCCGACGATGGAACAAACAAGATTCATTTCCGTTATACGCAGTCAGACAGTAGCCGCATACCTGGAAAAATAATACCGGGCTCGATGGGTTTCGGTGTTGGGAACGAGCAACAGTTAAACCCCACGACGACCAACGGTTTCCTCCTCGTTTGGACTCATCAGGTAGAGTTAACCGGAGCTGGGAATGAAACTCAGGACCAAATGGTTAACGGCTGAAGCGTTGATTCCAAGGCCACTGTGATCTTTGAGCAACGATTGGCACCGGTTAAAAATTTAAGATTGGTTTCAAAGTACTCGTAGTGTGGTTGGATGGCGTCACGCAATTGAAAGAGCATTGCCATGTACTTCAGAGATGTGTCAGTGGTATGTATTCTACCTGAGGGATGAGGGAAAATAGGGACTTATTGTGATAGTCCCATTGACCCTGTGACCGCAGCATGTCGGATAAGGTGTCCACGATCGCTGTTGAGTCCGGGTCCGAGGCCGCCACGACTCAGGAAGGCGACACGAAATTTCGTAGGTAGCAATTATCAAACACTATTAGTGGCCAGGTTCTCTGACCCGTGTAGCAACACTTCCTCCACAAGTGCCGAGGCTCTGAAAATCCATACAGGACCAAGCAATCCACGTATTAAACTATTCAATGATGTGATCGCCAGAAGGAATACAGGTGTTCGGATACGTAAACTGGTGGACAACCTTGAGCGCCTGTTTAAAGATAGTCAGTGGTCGTTCGGCTCAGCCCAACAGCAACAATTTAAAGATGGAAAGTACACGTCAAAGCAAGAAGTGTCATGATGCGTCAGCCTATTATACAATAGTAACGGCACATCGGTCGTGTCCAAACATCGTCCTGCGCTCTCTTTGATACCCACTTGCACGCCGACACCGCGCATTCAGCCAGATCAAACGGGTGACTGACAAGTGGTGCCTTGCATGAACGCACCATGAAGCGCACCAGATAACGTTTATCGG